CTTTAAAGACCCTCAGAGATCTATGTCCTCTACAATCTATTGTTACAGGTTACTTAATTCAGTTGTTTAAACAAAATAAAACAAAAAACCTTCTTCTTCAAGGTTCTGCCTCAGAATTGCCTACTGTTCTCACTGATTTCAAACAGTGGGTGTTTTATGATTTCCTTCCTTAGGGAAACCATTCTGCTAATGAAGTATTTCCCAACATTTTCCAGGAGATTATATGCTACCTTCCCCTCCAACCCTGTATCCAATAATACTCACCTTACTTAACCAATAAGACTCACCATTTCCAAGCACATAAGGTTCAAAGTTATATATCAAAGAATGGTATTATGATAAGTAAGGTACTACATATGGATTATCAATTTTCAAAATATTAGAATATTTGGAACATAGTAAAATACATCAGAACTTTACAGAAAGTAAATCCTTGAAGATTCAGAAGGCTCTTTTAGCATCTTAGGTGAAGTTGGAGATCATACTTATAAACATCAAATTATAACTATACTGCAAATATTCAGAAATGCCACTTAAAAGCGATAGTTAAGAGTGCTAGAAAGATAGATGTTTACTATGCATACAGACACAGATCATTTCCTTGCCTCTTTCCAGCACAACTATCACCAACCACATCCTTTAACAACCCTGGCAAAAACTGGCAAAATGAGGAAATATTGCAATATAGAAATGACAACTTAGAAACAGACCAAAGTATTCTAATTAGGTAGAGAAGTTGGGATGCGACATATTGCCTTCGGTGTCTAGGACATTGCAGTACCCTGGTTTTTCTCCTCCCATTGCCCTAAGTATATCTTTTATCTCCTCTTTGGTCTCTTCTTTCATTCAGTCCCTAATGATTGGCTCCTCTGCTTGTCCTTCTCTACTCTCTTTACTCTAATGAACCAATACTTTGGCATCGCCTCCATGATAACAACTCTTAAATACTATGTTAGTAACTGAGCTCCAGTTCCAAATTTTTAGCTAACTACAGGGAATCACTCAGGATGTCCCACTGTTGCTTCAAATTCAGTTGATCTCAAACCAGACTCAATTCAGTTTCATATTAAGTGCCTACTGTGTTCAAGGCACTGTGCTAGATTCTGGAGATACAAAGACAAAAATAGGATAGTCTCTACTCACAAGGAGTTTATATACATTAAGGAGGCAGCATAGAATAATGTGCACAGATTATCTGTGTATCTATCTAATACAAAGTAGAGCATGTAGCAGGTAAAGGAGAGATCAAAGTTCTAAGAATATCTGTGGAGGGAGAGACCATTGCTATCCATGGGCTGAAAGAGGGTATCCCACCCCACTCCTCACTCTGGCCAACCTCTCCCGACTTCCCTATTATTGTCAGTGGTGCTTCCATTTTCTCAGTTAACTATGTTTAGAAGATGAGATTCATCTTTCATACTTGCCATCTCTTATATCCAGTTACTAAGTTCCATCATCTCTTCCTTTGAAATGCTTTACATCCCTCCTTTCCTTTTTATTCTTTTTATTCTTACAATCCTAAACCAGGTGTCATCAATATATTTTCGCCACATACTTTGAGGTGGTTCTGTTGTCTCTGGGCAACTTCCCTTCAATGCATCCTACATACATCCACCAAGTGAATCTTTGTAAAACCATTATTTCATCATGTCATTCTCCATGCTAAAGAACTTCTAATAGTGCCTCATAGCTAACAGGGCAAATCTGGCCCTATACTATTGAAGAGGCAGCCATGATGCAAAGGAATGTATGATGGATTTGAAGTCAGAGGACTCTGGTACAAATCCTGACTCTGCCACGTATTTGGTGACCTTCGGCAAGAGATTTATCCTCTCTGAGCCTCAGTTTCTTCATCGAGGTGGTGTGGTGATTAGAGAGCTAGGTCTGAAGTTAGGAAGATCTGAGTTCAGAACCATATTAGCTGTGTGTCCTTGAGTAAGTCACTTCACCTCTGCCCCAGTTTTCTCAACTATAAAATAAGGACAATAACAGCACCTGCCATGAAGGGTTGTGAGTTTCAGATGAGACATCTGTAGAGCACTTAGCACATAGTAGGTGCTATATAAATGCTTACTTTGTTCTCTTCCCCTCCCCCTGCTGAGGTCCCTTTCAGTTCTAAATTAATGATCCCATTCAGCCTAACTTTCCACTACTTCACAATACAAACATCCTGCTCCCCAAGCAGGGCTCTTCCCATTTCAGTCTTTTCTGTCATTCAGTCTTTGCTCACACTATCTCCCTAACCTGGAATGTCCTTCCCTTCCTCCCTTATCCATCCCTCGGGCTCTATTGTGTTCTCTATGCATTTATTTTTAGATGACCAGACCTGTGACTTCATTAGTACAAAGGGCCCTCAGGGAAGTAGAAGATTTGTAGAATCTTGGACAATGCCTGGGCACAGAGAAACTGAGTGACTGGCCCAGGGTTACATGCAATCCAGATAACCCTGGCTTTGAGGTCAGCTCTCCATTCATTACTCCATACTACCCTCTACAAGTCTTAGGTGCTTAGTGTGTGCTGACATCCCACTTCCTCTGAGACCTTCTTCAATTGCTCCACCTTGCACTGATATGCCCCACCCCCTTTGACTATACTTGCTGCCTACCACCATTTCTCTAGCACAGTACACTGAACACAGTAGATGTTGTTGAATTAATGTCCAAACTAATAACACTAGTCTATACCTTCTCCAGTGGGGGAATTGGGAAGAGGGGAGCCCAGGTCAAGAGGGCCTATGGGGAACCTGCTGCTTCTACCTTCCTCAACTTTAAAATGAAAGAGTTGGACTAGATTGGGGTGGGGAACCTGCAGCCTCAAGGCCACACGTGGCCCTCTAGGTCCTCAAGTGTGGCCATTTGATTGAATCCAAACTTCACAGAACAAATTGGACTCAAAGGGCCACATCTGAGGACCTAGAGAGCCACATGTGGCCTCAAGGCCGCAGGCTCCCTATCCCTGGACTAGATGATGTCAAGGTCTGTTCCAACTCTAAATCCTATGATCACATGCTTTACTGGGCTTGCAAGATTAGAAGTAGAGAGAAATATCTACTCATTTTATCTTTCCATTTAATGTTTATGACACATAAATTTTCAAAACAGGCATATCCTAATGAAAGTAGTAAAAAAAGGTTTTCCAGTGCTTGACAACAAAACTCTGAATAATTATTTTAATTTACAAAATATCACAGAAAAAAGGTCCAAGTTATGAAGGAAATTTGCTATTAGCTCTTCTTGTGCAGATTTTTTGGGACACCATAGTAAAACTATACTACATATATTTCAAACTATATTGAAAGTAGATGTTAAACTTTCTAAACGTTACCATTTTATTTGTAATAACTATGACATTGAAGTTGGAGAGAAAGGAAAATTATTGTTCTTAAAATTGACCAAACTACAAAAACTTCCAAAACCAATCCAATAAGCATTTATTAAGAGTCTGATTTATGCACTATGTCCTTGGGATACAAAGACAAAATGAAAAACAGTCCCTGCCCTCAAGAAGTTTACATTCTACTTGGGGAATACAGCATGAAAACAGATAAAAAATATACATGATAATCTGAAGAGGAGGAGGAAGGCAGCACAAACAGTAGTACATGAGCTAAGTCATACAGGGAGCTAAAGATTCTAAGGGACGAAGATGAGGATGGAGTATATATATATATGTCACAGCCATGATGGACATGTACAAAAGCAGAGATACAGGACATGGAGGGCTGAGGGGGGTGAGGAGAATTTGGCTGCAACACAGACTGCATAATGTTACCAGTTATAGGAATTACCAAGGACTATTCAGACTGGTGAGAGGGGCTAAATACTAGTCATTATGTATCTTGTAAAATACAAAACTCATTTGTTTTTGACTTCTGAACAAGCTTAATAACGCCTGAAGCAAAAAGGAATTTTCTATAAATAAATAACAAGATCATAGGTCCATCAAAAGATCAAGATGTATTTTATGAGTGTGTGTGTGTGTGTGTGTGTGTGTGTGTGTGTGTGTGTGTGTGTGAATTACAAAGAGACCAATGCTGGCCATTTTCAATGTCTAATATGAGGCACTTAGGGAAAAAAAAAAACAAACCAACTTTTTGAAAGGCCTTGGTCCAGGATTTGTATCAGTGGAAGTAATTCCCACATACAGAAATCTTAATAACAACAAAGCATTGGTACTTTAAACACTGATATATGATCAGTGATATAGACATTAATATATAAGCATGTGGTCCAGAATTTAGCCTTAGGAAATACTGTCATCATTTTTTAGCCTTTAATTCTCAAATAACTTCTTTACAACATAATAAAAAAAAATGCCATTGCTCTCTGAGGCAGCCCAGAGAAAAGAGTTACTACCTGAACTTTGGGTTTCTACTGGCTTATGTATAGGTTCATGTACATACCAAATATTTTAACTCTAAATAGCCAGAATGCAGGACCATTTAAAAATAAATTTCTGCACATGTCTCTAGTGATACAGGCAAATGGTACATCATAAATGAAAAGAAAATACAATAAAACTGATCAAATATCTAATAAAATTTTGTAAATTTCCAAACTGTGCTTACATGGAACACAATTTGGTCATGAGAAATAAATCTTACTTCTCTTCTATAAATTTTACTATTTTACAATTTCAGGAAGCCGACAGTCAAAACCATCATTGCTAAAGCCCACCATCACCTATATTTGTGCATATTTCATTGAAACAGTTCATTAGATCAGAGGTAAAAGTTTACTTGACATAATTTACTTACCAAAACATGACAAGACCCTACTCCTTTCTTATTACACAATTCTTTTATAGTAGACTTTGATTTATTGCTGTTATATGATGGTGATTAGGACTCAAATTTCTCTAATTAGGTCACTTATTTACTTGAGAAATACAACTAGAATTAAATGGTGATTACTGGAGGGTAGTATATTTCATTTGATAAGAAGTATTATAAAGATTTTATAATACAATTTAAAAATAAAAACAAGTTTTAAAAAACTAAATTAGATTTCTTGGACAATTTATTCCACCCTTTAGATGAAGTAAAGAGTGTCATTGCCATGAGGAGAAAAATGTTGTACACAGGAGAATAATACACTTCCTTTTTCAATATAAATTGGCTTCCCTTTGGAGAAAAAATTCTGCTCTGGATGTGCTGTCTTTACTATCATTGGGTTCTGTCTGGCATAAGGTATGTAGAGCAGGCATTTCTGGTAGCTGGATACCTGAAGAAGACTTCACCTCACAATAGCTAAGAGCATATCCTTCAACCAAGTCTTCTTTGGACATCTGGTTTAAGCCTGAGTCATAGGCGCTGGCTTTCTTCCACGAGTGTGTCTTCTTGAGGGTGGTGTGCAGGAATTCTTTCATCCTTTGGTTTTCTTTGGCAGTAGATTCCCAAACCACTTCAAGTTCACCTTCTACCTCTCTACAAGAAACAAAAAACAGAAAGTAAAGTTTTAAATGGCCTCTTTCCCATATGGGTCCTTTGTGGAACAATCTGACAACAGAAACTTTTCTTTAGAAGCACTACTTTTTTTAAATAAATTTTTATTGATGTCTTGTGTTTTTTCTATCACCATAGTTTCCCCCAGTTTTCTTCTCTCCCCCCCAAAGCCATTCCATATAACAAATTGTATTTTTAAGACAAAAAAAGAAGAAATCAATATAACTAATCAAAATATTGAAAGTTTAAAAATATTTGTTCTCAGCATCACTTGTGGCCTTCCCTCCTCTGCAAAAGGCAGAGTTGGGAGGGTCTTCTTATATCTCTTCTTTTGACCCATGCTTGTTCTTTAAAACGCTGCAACATTCACTTTTGAGTGTGTGCACACACGCGTGTGTTTGTTCTTTCCATTTACATTACTGTACTCACTGTATATACTGTTTTCTTGGCTTAGTTTACTTCATTATATCAGTTTATATAGATCTTCTCATATTTCCCTGTATTAATCACATTTATCATTTCTTATAGCACAGTATATATGTATATATATACACACACACAAGTATGTTTTATATACAAACAAATATGTGTCTATGTTATGTGTGTGTATATATATGTATGTGCATATATATACACATACACACACACACACACATATATATATATGGAGAAAGTGAGAGAGAGAGAAAGAGAGAGAGAGAGCGAATATCTTAAAAACTGAGGAAATTAAGGGAATTTGAGGTGATTAGGACAGCAAGTGGTTAATTGTGGAAACTGAGTGAACCATACTAACTCCATCTTGTAACTCAATTCTGGAGCTAGCTCAGTTCCCTTTCTATTCAATTATAAGTCTAGGGGCAGCTAGGTGGTGCAGTGGATAGGGCACCGGCCCTGGATTCAGGAGGACCTGAGTTCAAATCTGGCCTCAGATATATAACACTTACTAGCTATGACTCTGGGCAAGTCACTTAACCCCATTGCCTAGCCAAAAACAAAACAAAACAAAACCAAAACAATCAATTATAAGTCTAGTACAACTTCTGTCCTGTGAGAAAATTTTATTTGATTGTGAAAAGTGAGAGAAAACTTTGTTGCCCTATTTGAACTTAGCTTCGCATGGCTGGGAAACCAGACCACCTCTTCCTATTGTTTAGACATCCTTAACCATGGATCTAGGTTATGCTAATCAGAAACCTGGTCAGAATCAAAGACTGATGCAAGGAATTTTCTCACAATTGTACATCTCAAGCAACCGTTATGTTTTATAAGAAAACTGGCACTGTACCGATCAGTTACTGTTTCCATGTTCCTTTGATTGCTTACAGATGCTTGAGGGGAACAGGACACCTCCTTTTCCAGTTTCAGGGAAATGTACCTGTTTACTCTCTCCCTCCCAACTTGGAAAGTCTCTAATCTTTTATCCAATTAGAAATCAAATTATGTTGTTTCCTTTGAACTAATTGGCCTTATTTGATTAATAATTTTTAATGCATAAAAGTCTGTCTGCCCCCTCTATTTGGCATCCAGCCCCAAGCTGAGGAAATGGTCCCACTTTGTTAGGCAATTGGCATGCATTGCTTAATAAATATTCTCAGAGGATCAAACTTTTGTTTCCTCATTCTACCTTTCACCCTCAATCAAACCCTATCCAAAAAAATCGGATACAAAGATTTTTTTTTTCCCACTTGACCACCTCTCTTCTTATCCTAGGTTAGGGGTAGGGTACCTGCGGCCTTGAGGCCACATGTGGCCTTCTAGGTCCTTGGGTGCAGCCTTTTGACTGAGTCTACATTTTACAGAACAAATCCTTTTATTAAGGGGATTTGTTTTATAAAATTTAGATTCAGTCAAAGGGCTGCATTTGAGAACCTAGAGGGCCACATGTGGCCTTGAGGCCACAGATTCCCCACCCCTGCACTGGAGCTTACAGAGTAGAGAGATGACATGATTGCACGTGTTTTAAGAAAACCACTTTAGTGGACAAAGGTCTGGAGTGGGGAGAGACTTGAGGCTGGCAGACCCACCAGGAGGTTTCTGCTACACTCAAAGTGAGAGGTGGTGAGGGCCTGCACCAGAGTGGTGATAGTGTCAGAGGAGAGAAGGAGGCATATTCAAGAGATGTTACAAAACTGAAACTAACAGGCCTTGGCAACAGCGCAGATATGGGGGGAGGGGGGTGAGAGACGGTAAGGATTCCACGATGACTCCTAGCTTGGAAGCTGGCATTCAAAGCCAGGTCCTCTGATTTCAAATGTAGGGAGTGCTCTTTTTGCTGTGCCACACTGATTCTTTGCTGTGAGCAACACACCAACAGTATAATGTGGAATACTAAAAAGGAGAAAACTGTAGCACCAGATTCTTTTTTCTTGCCATAGAAATTCCATTTTCTTCCAAGTCAGCTAGATCTCTTCTGACATAACTTTTTATAACTAGACCTGTGATTTCACTGGTCTCGGGAACTTTGAGTGATGACACTCCTCCCAATACAAAGGAGCAACTGTTGTTCAGCTCAAAGTCTCAGACAGTCTCCTGGGAGGCCGACCACAAGCACAGGAGACCCTTGGGTACCAAGGAGTTAAGGGAGCCACCCTGGATCAGAGAGCCAGTACTTGAACACAGGCCTTCTTGAGTCTGAGGCAGCTCTCTATCCATTATGTCCTACACTGCCTGTCATGGGATGCATATCCCAATGAAAATACTGCAAGTAGTTGCCTAAGAAGTTTAGGGAAATACAATTGTTCTTTGTTTCATTGCTGCTGGGGGAAAAAACATCAAATGGACTGTCAAGAATTTATCCACAAATTGATTTCTGAAAGCCTATGAGGTTCTTTCAAAGGCAAGTAACAAGGCCACCTTGATTTATTGATCCCACTTTATGTGGTGTTCAGAAAGTGCTCTAAAGAAATAGGATCTCAAGAATTCTCATAATAGCCTAGAGATTGGCAAGAGTTATCAGTCCTATATTGTAAACAGAGAAGCTATTTCAAAGATTATAACTCTGGCCCAAGACGAGCAAAAGACATCACTCCATACACCCACTGCACCAGACATCATTTCCCCACATATGCAACTGCTTTCTCTAACACCAACCTACTTACAATTTATCTTAGTTGAACTTTTTATACAAATGTGTTCAAAGTTAGAAGAAATAGAGTAAAACTGACCTGGCAAAAAGTTAGAATTAAGCTGTTTAAGCACATTACAGCTAGACATTCACTTTGGATCAATGTTTTGGCTCCAACTTAGTCATTCAAAATTAAAAACAAAAACAAAAAACCCCACCTCAAATACCTCATCCTCATATGCTACATAATTGGAAAACATTCTCAGCAAGGAATAAACTTTATTTCCACACATAGACTTTTCAGTCAGGGAGAAGGTTCATAGTTTGGGCAGTGTGTACCTCAATAGCTGATAGTGCTTTTGTCTCTGATATTCCTGTTTAAATTTGGGGATTAAATAAAACTTTAAGGTTGCTAAAATATGTGCAAAACATCTTAGAGTCATTTATATCCTGAAAAGAAAGTAAGTAGTGATAATTGCATGTGTTTGGGCATGAATTATGTAGTACAATATATCATGACCTAGAAAAATCACAAAGGGGAAAAGAAGTTATGATTCTCTAGACATAAATTTGACTTGAAAGAATAAACAAATCTTAGTTTTTACATTACAGCTAGATTAACAATTTAAATTAAGTGTTTTCAGTTAAAGAACTACTTCAACATCTGAAGAATGCAGGGACTGGCTCCCTGGACCTGGATTTAAGACCACCCAAGTTTAAAAACTTCCTCAGACCCTTACTAGTGTTATCCTGAGCAAGTCTTCCAGCTACTCTTAACCTCAGTTTCTTTATTTGTAAAATAGGGATAATAACAGCTCCCGACCTCAGAAGATTATTTTGAGGATCATACATGACATATGTATAAACTCCTTGGCAAACCTTGAAACACTATATAAATGTGAGCTATTATCATTATACCACTGAATTTTGTTTAAAGACTATGTACAAGAACATATTATATTTAAAATTAACCAGAGAATCACAGAATTTCAGACCGGAAACATCATCATCTTGAAAGCCCTGAGAAGGAAAGTGACTTGACTAAAGTATAGATGATGGAAGAATATATACATCTACAGAAAACAGAACATCTGGATTCCTGAGCTGGAACTGAAAGACAGTGTTTTAAGTTTCAAAACAAGGTGATACATACTTAACCATGATTTCCAAATGCAGGCCATCTGGGTTGTAAATGTTGGAAAATAATAGTATAGAATATATATGTTAGCTAAGGGCAGTGATTTTTTTTCTGTGGCCCTGTGATATACGGTTCTTCAAAATCTCAACTTTTCAAGGTCTTCCTTGTCACAATTTTAACTTACAAACCGGCTTTTCTATGGGTTAGCACAATTACATTTTGTTTTCATTTGTGTACCATATATTCTGAGTAGTTCGCTTGGAAAGGCATACAAACAGTAAACAGACCAGAAAAGGTCAAGGAAAATGCACATTTATAAATGAATAACATGGGCAAAGAAAAAACGTTGCTCCTTTTAAAAAGAATGCATAGAATTACTGCAATGGTTTTGTTAATATATGCAAACATTTTTTCAATAATCTATAGCTAATGAAGCATATATTCACATTATGAGGAATTATTACTGCCCTTCTATTCACTTTATGCTTTTGACAAAGTTGCTTTTAAAAAAAATGACTATGTTAAAAGCTTTTCAAATGTGCTCTTTCTTTTTCCTGGGAAAAGAGAACATTGGGTGCCTTCTCCTCAAAACTTCCCATCAAGTGACCAGACTTCTGCCTCTCTTTTTAGTTTTCAACATTCACTTCCACAAGATTTTGAGTTTTAAATTTTCTCCCCCTCCCTTTCCTATTCCCTCCCCAAGATGGCGTTCAATCTGATATAGGCTCTACTTATATGTTCATATTAAGCATATTTTCACATTAGTCATTTTGTAAAGAA